TCCCTCCGCTTCTTCCTACAGCCTTAGCTTAATCCTCCATCAGCTCTGGTCTGGCCCGTTGCTGAAGTGGCCAGCCAGTGTCCGGCATCCATTCTTGAGCACTCCAGCGTCCTCCCCACAGGCCCCCGGCGAGCTTTCTAAGCGCAGGTCTCATCCTGTCACTCCTCAGCCTGCGCCGTGCTGCCAAGAGTCCTAAGCGCTCCCAGAGCTGCCCCTGCCCGGCGCCCCAGCCTTATCTCTCTGTCCAGGCCCTGCATGCCCTCTCCAACTACACACAAACACACGAGATAGTGCAAGGACAGGTTCCCCTGACATGCTCCACCTTTATCAGTGAGCACCCGTCTCCCCGATTCCTCCTCCCCCACTGGGCTCACCCACTGCGCCTCTTTCCAGACTCACTGGGAGCTTCAGGCCCTAGGGGAAGGCTTCTGTGATCCTCTCCTTCTCTGGTCCTCGCTCTGGGCAGAGCTGACTACTCCCTCAGTTCCCACTCCAGCAGTAGAGACGTCCTAAATTGCTTCTGTGACACTTGATTGCACTTAATCACCTCGCTGTTTTCTCTATGGACTGTTAGCTTCTTGAGAACAATCTATTGCTTCTGGCAAAGTAACGGAATGTAAAGGACTCCAACAGCACACACTCCGAGGTGAGGGCAGCTCCTCGCCCGTCCTCCTCGCTGGCTCCTTGGGGCAGCCGTTCTCTGGTGCCCTTGACCAGACCCTGCTGTGCCCACCCGCAGCTCCCAGCTGTCCTTCCCAGCAGCTCTCACAGTCTGACATCTTGATGTGAGGATTTCATTAATTTTTTGAGGAACTCCTATGCTTCTACAGCAGCTGCACCATTTTACATTGCCACCAGTGCAATGCTGATTTTTAATTCGAACTGTATAGATGGGAGGAAAAGGAGGAGTGTAGGGTCGTCATGGATTCTTCTGAACCATATCCAAGGAGTTTGTCAGGATGGTCAAGAAGAAGTGGCAACAAAGTGAGTTAGATTCTCCAATCAAAACACTTTCATTCATAAGACAAATATGATTTTTTTTGAGCTGTTATTATGTGTCAGTCAGAGTCTGGGGCACTTGGGGACCCAGTGGTCAAGACAGCCACAGTCCTTGGAGTCTTACACTCTAGTAGGAGAGACCAGTGTTAAACACAGAACTACCATATGACCCAGCAACTCTACTTCTGCGTATGTACCCAGAAGAACTGAAAGCAAGGTCTTAAACAGATATTTGTACAGACATGTTCATGGTGGCATTATTCATGATAGCCAAAAGGCAGAAACAACCCAATTGTCCATTACCAGATGAATGGACAAACAAAGTGTGGTAATTCAAGCAATGGAATATTATTTGGCCTTACAAAGGAAGGAAATCCTGTCACATGCTACAACATGGATGAACCTTGAAGACATTATGCTAAGTGAACAAGATAGTCACAAAAGCCAGTTGAAAACTGTAGGATTCCACTTAGATGAGTCACCTAGAGGAGTCAAACTCATAGAGACAGAAAGTAGAGTGGACGGTGGTTGCCAGGGGCTGGGGGGAGGGCGGAGTGGGGAGCTGGTGTTTAATGGGGACAGAACTTCAGTTTGGGAAGATGAAAAAGTTCTGGAGATGGATGGAGGTGCTGGTTGCCCAACCATGCGAACATGCTTCCTGCCGCTGAACCATACACTTAAAAATGGTTAAAATGATAAATTTTATGTTATGTCTTTTTACCACATTTTCAAAAATTTAAATAAAAAAATCAGCATTGCAATATTTCTCCTAATAAAGGGAGGAGAAAGCCCCGGCCGCTGAAGTTCCTTCTAACCAGGACACAGCGCCGAATCAGGCAGCTGGGAGGTAGGTGGGAGCTTAGACACGGTATTTTTGTTTCAACTGATCCCTGGGATTATTAGGAAGCTGCTAGATTTTTAATCTTTTCTCTTTCCAGACTGAAAAGGTCATCCAACGGGTATATAGCCTTAGATAAATTCTTCTCTATCAGTTGCTTTTAAACATCAATCCACAAGAAAGTCCCTCTTGGAGAAATAAAATAGGAATGAGAAGACATATCCCACGACTGTGGACGGACAGCTTTGTTCAGATGACCCGCTCTGTGAGCGTGGGTGCCAAGGGAAGAGGGTGTTGACAGGCTGGGCCCAGGCTCGGCTTCTTCCCGAGGGCCTGCAGAGGGCTGCCGCCAAGGAAGGAGAGCCTTCTGTTAAGCGCAGAGTCACCTATGTGCCACCTGCCAGCCTCTTTCCTCAGAGGCCCACCTGCCCTCTGGCCAGTGCTCCCCGCCCAGGAATGAGGCACCTGGCGGAATGGAGACCCTCAGGGGCACCTGCCAGGAAGGCTTCCTGGCTCTAAACCATCTCTGGATGCTCCCAGGGATCACAGATTATAGCAATCACCGGAACCACAAGCAGGCCCCATCCCACCTGCTTGCCCAGGACTCCGGGAGTCACAGACCTTCTTATTCATGGGCTCATGGCGGGTGCAGCCCTGGCAGCTCACTGTGTGCTCCCCTTCCCCTATTTCATCCAAGTGACATCTGGACATCCAGGAAAACCCTGCAGGGACAAAAGGTGCCCAGAGGACCACCTGTCCTGGGGGAGAGCGCTGGAAGGAAGGAGGAGCGGCCCCCCCCCCCCAGGCTTTGGTGACTGAGACCTTGACACCTAATGTAGACCCTCAGGGCTCCTCCTTCCCCTGCAGCTTTCCCCAAAGCCGAGGCCTCCCCCAGTCTCAGCAGCTCACTCAGGCTAGGGGGGGACTGTCCTGACCCTCCACACAGGGGACCCCATCGGTGGGCCCAGATCAGGGTACAGGAAGTCCAATTTGCCCCTCGAGTGTGGCTTGAGGCAGGAGCACCCTGACTGCGGCTCCAGCCTGTGGGATGGTTCTGCTCAGAGCAGGTTTCCCAGGAACGCGGCAGGGCTTCCTTCACCCGCCAGGCTCAGAGCCAGCTCCCGGCTTTCTCTCAGAGGAGGGGCCGTTTCCATGAGGCTTTCAGCTCTTTTCAGCAGCAGACAGGGCAGAAAGCCCCCAGCTGTTCTGTGACCAACACTTCACCTCCTGGAACCCAGGCTCTTCTTCTGTAAACTGAAGGTACTGACCAGGTGATGGCTCAGGCCCCTGCCACTCACAACAGGCCCCGTTAGAAAGTTACAACACATTGTTCAGAATATCACCCACCTGCCCCACAAAACTGTGCACTGAGGCAGGGCCACGCTATGATTTTTGAGGGTCCTGGGGACTTTTGCCTTCATGGGTCCCCTCCACCATAAAAAATATTAAAAAGCATACTTTACAACTGTATTGGTATAAAGATGAATATATTAATATTATACACTTAAAAAAACACTTTCTTCTACCTAAACTTTCTTTTTTTTTCTGATTTTAAAATAAATTAAAACATTTTCAGAGGCCCCTAAGAGTATTGTGGGCTCTAAATACCGTGTCTACTCTGCCTGATGAATACATGGGCCCTGCCTTAGGGACACACAGGTAGAGGGAACAAGAAAGAGACCCAGCTAAGAGGGAGGGCCTAACCTCAGCAGCAGTGTGACCTGGGCCAATCACTTCACCGCTCTGAGCCTCAGTTTCCCCATCTGGAGATAACAGTATCTACTTCACAGAATGTCATGACCTTGATTGGAATGGGGCATGGTACAGAGTAATCACTATCAAAGTGTTGGTTGTCATGAATACTGTTGTTTACTGTTGTTCTAGCTGCTTCCCTGACCTTCTGTATCTTAACTGACCTTCTAGGAGAAAGGCAAGGCAGACCCTCCGCTTGCGGGACACCTCACTCGGACCCCCGAGAGCAGATACAGCTGTTTCAGAGCCGCTTATTCAGGAAAACTTAATTTTCCTAAAACTCTCTGGCAGAGTCACCCAGGGCGAGCCCCCGAGGGAACGGGCCCTCCCAGGGAGCCGGCGTCCTCCACCCCAGCCCTGAGCGGGGGTGAGCATCCCTGCGGCGGAAGGAGAGGGGGGGCTGTAAACTGCCGCCCACTCGCCTCCTCCCTCGGCAGATGTCAGAGCTCAGGGAACTGAGTGGGAGGCTCTGAGGCCTTTTAAAATGCAGAGGCCTCTGGAATAAATTAATGTCTTAATCCCTTAATAGTCACACAAGAGGAAGGCCTGACAGCTGGGTTTTCCGAGGGGGCGTGACCCCGTATGTGCCGGGGCTTTACATATATTATCTCGTTTAATCCTGACAACAACCTCGGCCGGAGGGATTACCGTCTCCATTTTACAAACCAGCAGACAGAGGCTCAGAGAAGGTCAGAGACCTGCCTACAGGTCACCCCTACTCCTTCCTGCGGCCCCAGGAGACTGCTGGGAACTAAGAGGGATCCAGAGCAGAGAGAAGGGGGAAGTGGAAGCCAGGGCCCATCAGCTGCAATGCTCCAGGCCTCAGTTTCCCCACAGGCACATGGGCGACGTTGGCCCCACATCTCATGCATGCTGCTCTTCTTGCCCCACTCTCCCCCTGGTCCCAGCAGACAGTGGCTCCTTTTCAGGGCCTCCTGTGGCATTTCTCCAGTTCCTGGAAGGGACAGCCACCGGCAACGCCACTCCTCCCTGACCCCAAAGCTGAGAGGAGACTTTGTAGTGGGTTCAATTGTGGCTGCTGCGTTGGAAAGCAGGGGACCCTTCAAAACCCAAAATTCCCAGCTAAGCATGAGGTGGCGGAACCAGGGAGCCATTTTGTGTCCAGACTCTCCCCACCACCTCTCATTCGTTTAGGAAAAGAAAGTTGGCAGCAACAGGGCAGATGCTGAAAGTGAACAGCTTAGTCACTCTCCCACCCTCTCCACTCACTTCCTTCCAGCTCTTTTCTCCTTGGGAAAAGAGTGACTCTGGAAGTGAGCTGGGCTATTCTGACTGTGAGCGGGAAAATCAGGGCTTTGAGGGAGAGCTGTGCCTGAGAGGACCGGACAGAGCAGCAGCAGGCAGCCCTGGGGACCAGGCCCCCCGGGCTGAGGGGAGGACGCAGTCCTACCTCCAAAGGCGGGCCTCATGGTGAAATCGTGGTCATCCACTCTGAGAAGCGGCTGAGGTTTTCCTGTGCGGATTTTGGTCACGTCGAGGTTCTTCTTGTATAGGTGACTGCAAAGACAAGCAAGACCCGTTTTCTACTGGCCCCCTAAGGCGTTGTGTGAGATGATGTGGGGCGGTTACTCCCTGCAGGGTCTACCTGTCAGGCACCTTTTCTCCGTCCTCCCATCTCCTTCTCCACGGAGGGGATACCAAGAGCCGATGGACAGTCCCCTGCCCCCACCACACCAGGCCCTCACAGGCAGGCTGAGCTGAGGACCAGGCCCTTCTAGAGTCTTCCTGAGTAGATGCATCTTGGGCAGGACAGCATTCTTCCTTGGCAAGCTCTTAACTGTCTTGCCAAAAGTTATGATTGGATGACAATGTCTGGGTTGGATGGTGGAGCATTATGATGTTTTTTTCTTTTTAAATATTTCTCTTATGTTGTAAAAATATTGATCTTGTGATAAATAAAATTCTGAGACAAATATAAAGTTTTAAAATGCTGGCTTTATCTTAGCCAGACCTGATCTTCCTTACATCAGTCCAGTTGGCAGCTCTCTGCAGAATCCACCTCGTGGCAGTGCCTCAACCCCCAGGACAACCCACAGCCAGCAGGGAGCAAGGACACAACAGGGGACGCAGTTGCTCTGGCCACTCGGCCAGGTGGTGGAAGCTGGAGCCCAGGATCTCAGACCCTGGTTCAGTCTCTTCCCTTTAATCCAGATGACAAAGGAGTAATTCTCTCTTCTCTCTCATTCACACACACTCTTTCCAGATCATTTTGTTTTTTACTGCAACCACACATAATCTTAAAGTAATGAAATTTAAAATATTTTAAAGCAATATTCTACTGACAGAGTTATCACTAAACAAGAAAAAGAGAAAAGAGGGGAGGGAGAGAGAGAGAGAGAGAGGAAGGGAGGGAGGGAGGGAGGGAGAAAAAAGGGAGAGAGAGAAAGGAAGAAGAAACAAAAGAGGAGGAAGGGAGGGAGGGAGAAAGGAAGAAGGGCAGATCGTTTGGACATTTGGGTCTGACAAGATGTGAGGTCTAATTCTTGACAGAAAATAATAACCTTGTAAGAAGTCAGTGTTGCTATAATTTCCGTTATGTGTAGGACATTGAAGCTTTTTAGAAGCAAATGAAGAGATTTTCTTTTGAGTGTTTGTTGTTCATTTATACAAATCTCTATTTTACTCTCAGAGGTCTTGTCACACTTTATGCATTTTTTTTAGAGAAACTAGCATATTTCCTGTTTAAACTCTGTAAGAGGGAAGTGACATGTTTTCTCTTTTGAAGTCCTGTTCTTTGAGACATCTTCCTATGAAATCCTTCTTAACTTTCCTTCTCTACTAGCTCTGCCCAGATGATATCATTTGATGGGAGGTCTAAAGCTGGCCGCAGAAGTGGCCACTAAAGTAGCCACTAGCCACGTGTGGCTAAGTTAATTAAAATTAAAAGTTAGTGTTCAGGGGCCGGCCCCGTGGCCAAGTGGTTAAGTTCACGTGCTCCACTTCGGTGGCCAGGTTTCCACCGGTTCAGATCCTGGATGCGGACATGGCACCGCTCGTCAGGCCATGCTGAGGTGGCGTTCCACATAGCACAACCAGAGGCACTCACAACTAGAATGTACAACTATGTGCTGGAGGGCTTTGGGGAGAAGAAGAAAAAATAAGATTGGCAACAGATGTTAGCTATTAGCTGGGGGCCAATCTTTTAAAAAAGAAGAAAAGTTAATATTCAGTTCCTCAGGTATCCTAGCCATACTTCTATGATTAATACCCCCTGTGGCTGGTGGCCACCATATTGGACAGTGCAGATACGTAACATTTCCGCAGTCACTGACGTTTTCTTACTCAGTGCTGGTCTAAAGGCCAGCCAGCCTGACCCTGGCCCCGGCTTCCTCGGCGTCTCCTGTTTCCACTGTTCATTCTCATCAGCGTTCAAACCAGATTCAAGACCCCCCAGCTTGGACCAAACTAAGCAGAAAATCTGGCTAGACCACACGTCGTCCTCATGCAAAATTTATTGAAAAGTGATAGTACAGGTGTGGTAGTTACATTCTTCTTTGAACACTTCCTTTTTTAAAAAAACAAAATGTCTTCTCCTTCCCAATAAATAAGTAATTCTCCCAAAGAGCCCTGTTCCACGCACTGCTGCCACCTCCCCACTGCCAAGCTCTGCCGGCCCCCTCGCCAACCGGGTGCAGGCACCCTTGCTGAGGGCTGGCTTCGCCACCGCAGGGTGGATCAGAACCCTCGTCTTTCAGGCCAGGCCGCTCATTTTCCTCCTGCCTCTCGGACAGCTCCTTCTCAATGTTCACTGCAGCCTCCCCCTCGTCCTTGGCCCATCCCTTAAATGCCAGTGTCCCCAGGGCCCTGTCCCAGCCGCTTTCTCCTCTCTCTCTACACCTCCTGGCAGGCTCGCGGTGTCAGTGGCTTCAGTTGTCAGCGACATGGCGGTGATGCCTAAATCAACATCCCCTGCTCTAGACCTTTATATCGCATTGCCTAACTGATCAGCCCCAGCTGGGTATCCTACAAGCGTTTAAAGTCTACACATCCGTGGTTTGGTTTGGGCCATGCTGAGTTTGAGGTGGCCTAGCTGGAGGGTGAGTGGACGTTCGATGAAAGGAGGAAAGGGTAGGAAGGGTGCAGCTGAAATGGGCAGATTGAGGCTGCGGGGCAAGCAGGACTAGGCCAGGCAGAGCCTTGAAGATCATGTTAAGAATTCTGTCTCCATCCAACGGCAGAGGGAAAACACTGAAGGGTGTTAGGCAGTTGGAGGAAGAAGCCATCGTCAGATTTGCTTTTGGACAAGCCATCGTAGCTGCACCTCCAGCAGGAAAGTCCAACGTGACTTCTCCATCCTCGTTAGCTGGAGCATGAGACTTAAGTCCCATTCCCTTGAGGCATGTGGGGTCATGGTTGGGGGCTGCCAAGGGCCCTCCATTCTCACCCGTTTCTTCCCCAAACCTCGCTGGAGAAGCTGAGATGGGCCAGGCCTGTTCTCTGTGTGGCGACTGTGGCGGGGGGCCATGTTCAGACGCCCCAGCAGAGACACCCGGGGACGTGGAGGGCTTAGCACATGACAGACGTTGAAGTGTGAGTGCCCCCGCCTCCCTGCCCCTCTGCCTCCAGGGAGCAAATCCCTCCTGGTGGCACAGTTTAGAGGCCAGGACAGGGGAGCGGAAGTCTTGAATGCCAGCACCCCCGCAGGACGGGCGATTGAGGTCCCGGTGCCATCAAGGAGGGCCTAGAATTTTTTTTCAGGGACCAGTTATTCGATAATATCCAGGCCCTGGCTATTTGTGGGAGCTGGACGCCCTCAATTTGTCCTTCCACAGGAGATCCCTGGACCTTGGCCTTGGACCCCAGACCCCTGAGGCCATATCCGGAGTCCCAACGCCACAGCAAGGCAGCCAGAACTTTCACAGGACCTAAGCCCAGCCTTTGGGGAGGGTTAGAGAAGAAGAAAGATGTGTTCACAATGCCTTTGAGAAGTAAGGCTAGTGCCATCGTGTTGAGGTTTCTCTGGCAGCAATCATAGTGACCACGCTTCCACGAGTCGCCCCCTCTCTGCACAGGCCCTCAGCTGTGGTCATCCCATCAGCCCAGTGGGGAAGGTGTCACTACCCCCTTTCCAGTTGGAGAAATGGGGTTCAGAAAGATCGGGAAACACAGCCACATGGCTACACAGCCACACTGCCAGAGAGCAACAGAACCAGGGCCTGGACCTGGTTTCCCTGAGGTCCCAACCCACTTCCTTCCCCAGACCCTCTGGGGAGGATGAAGGTCACTGGGTAGCAGGAGAGCGAAGCTGCTCCTGGGTCCAGCACAACTTGAGCCATGATGCAAACCAAGAGAAGGATGGCCAAGGGCAAGTCGTACCAAGGGGCAGCAAGTGGGGACAGAAATATGGAAGGGGCCCTGGGGCTCCGGGACGAGGAGGGTGATACCAGAGCAGAGCCCAGAGCTGGGTTTATTTTCAGATTTTCAGAAGGGCCTCCCTCGACAAGAATGCAATTGTGTGGTCAGGAGGCCACTTAGGCAGCAGGGCGGGAGTTGGAATAAAGCCGTGAAGCTGAGAGGCCGGAAGAAGAGAACGAAACAAACCACTAAGAGAAAACACACTCACCCAGAGTGACACGTAGAATCAGAAACCAGAAACAGTTTTTGAAAAAGCTGCTGGGCGAAATAACTGTTTCAGGAGGGTACCTTGGCCAGGGTGAGGCAGGGGAAGTTTACAGGTTAGAAGAGGTTCCAACAGTGTGTGTGAGTGTGTGTGTGTGCATGTGTGTGACTGTATGTGTGTGTGTGTGACCATATGTGTTGCATGTGAATGTGTGACTATGGGTTTGAGACCATGTGTGTGGTGAGTGTGATCATGTACATTGTGCGTGTGTGACTGTGTGAAACCCTACGTGTGGTATATGGCCTGTGTGTATGACTGAGTGTGGAGGGGGGAGTGTGTGAACAGGATTTCCAAGAAAAGGAGCAACTCTACAGAGGTGAAGTTTTCTAAGACTGTAACGAGAGAGGGTAAGGTCATTTTATTCCTATTTGTTAGTGTAGCTTAGCTCTTGTGTGTCAATAATGAAAGTAATTTTTTAGTCAGATGCTTGGCTAAAATTTTTCACAGACCAAGATAGTTGTATGACTCTCTGACCAGGTGCATGCCATGGTAGACGCAGAAAGGCCTAGAACCGTGTTCCCCAAGGCAGCATTTTCTCTTTCCTTTTTCCCAGCCTCTGCTCAAGAATTATTTTATATTCTTCGAATGGATGTGTTCATCTTTTCATTCACTTTAACACCTCAGGGGATGGATTTCAAGAAATTCTCCTCACTCCTTCGGGTCAGATTCAATCATGCAGGTGTCTGGGAATGAGACTGGCTCTTCTGAGGAATGACAGAGATGTGACAGCCCAGGCTGCCGAGTGGGATCCCCAAGGATTCCTGAGGGACTTGGGCGGAACCCCAACCCCCTTCTTGGGGAATAGACAACTCCAGACAATGCTTTTCCCTCAGGCTGAGTAAATCAGGCATCTATGTTCCCGTCCCGGTGAGCCACTATCAAACTGTGTGAATCACTCATGCCTTTGCACCAACATTTCAGCAGCTGTCAAATGAGGCAGTGTTTCCCAAGTGTGCTCTGTGGAAATGAATCCCACAAGATAGTTCAAAAAAGGGTGAGTTCTTGCACAATTTATCCCCCTCTTCAAGATTCACAATGTCTATTTGCATAATAAATGTTCTAGAAGTTCTGCTGTAAAGACATCTGTTTAAAATGGTCTCAAACGTGGTTTCCCAAGCTTCTTTGACACTAGAATCCCCTTTTCACACAACACCTACTCAGATCTCACAGAATTAGAACTCAGAGTAACTGCTGGACCGGGTGATCTCTGAGGTCCCTGTCAGTTCGACAGCCTGTGAGTCTGGCGATGCGTGCAGGCTGTCTTCCAGAGCAGAGCTCTTCCCATCACCCAGGATGATTTTGATCTGTTCACTTTCTGACTGAGCAGGATTAGGCCCTACAGAGTTATTTACGTCTCCCAGAGCAGCATCTCCAACTCGGGGGCACACACTTGGGATGCTAAGTGGTCCACTGGGATGCAGGAAGTAGAGACTGTAATTCTCATTTATAGTTTCTATCTAAAAATAAGGAAGCAATCAAGCTTTAATTTAATATACATATTATAATAGTACGTGTATGTAATTTGTAAGTAAATATACATATATTGGAGGTACAGTTTCAAAAAATTGTCACTGATAGTGGTGCAGGATGAAAAATGGAGACCACCGACCTAGAAAATGTGCCTCAAGATATTAGATTATATTTATAATCATTAGTTCACCCAATGCTTAGTAGAATGGAAAACAGATGTGTAACCTCTCACGCGTGGTGTTTTTATCTTAACTGCTTGCTCTTTTCTTCATGCTGAACATTCCTTATGTGTGCATCAGGCCTGGAGTGTCTTTTGCGCATCAATCCAACATAAACTCATTAAGGAACTTTAATTTGTAATGTAATGGTTTTGAATGCAAATTATGGGCCCAACCAGGACTCCCTGGAAACATTTCCATTACATCATGAAATGGCATTCACTCTTGTCCACACATATATTTCTGATAACCTAGCAAATTTCAAACACCTTTTCTAGGATCAAAACAGTAAAATGAAACTCGATATCATTATAAAGTTGCTCCCAATCCACTAATTTAAAGAAGACAACTCCCAGTTACATTTTTTCTTAACAGTTCAGGCTAAATTCCTATATATAGTTCCCCCCGAAATACTGGAGTGTAATTACTTAGCAGGCCATCTATGCTCCCTAGAGGATGTAATCCTGAGACACAAAAATGCACAGTCTGAGAAGTTTTATCTACCAAGTCTTCAACTATCCGCCTTAAATCAAAATGCTTTGGCTGAACACAGACATCAAAATGAACGGCTCAACCCACTCTAGCTTCGCTCTCTCGTTGCTTGTGACACGAAGAGTATTTGTGCCCAGTGAGAGGCTGTGAGGCTCCGTCTACTTAGGGATGGAAAACGGATTCCAATAGGATGATATAACCCCCAGCCCTCCTGAGAGCTGTCCCACTGTGCGTGGCTGTCGTTGCCGCAGGTGACCTCCCTCCCTTCCCACCCGCGACTTTACCTTGGCTTGGGCATTTCCAGCTGCCCTGTCCATCTCCTCTTCTTGAGCTTTCTGCTCTCCACAAGAACCATCAGGCAAAACAAGAACAAGATGAGTCTTGTAAAATAAGGCATTGTGTGAATGTCTATGATGCCACAAGCTGCTTTCCAGTAAGCTGCGGCAGAGCAAATCTCCCCGGGCTTAACCATTGATTCAGCCTGCTGCCTTGTGACGGTGCTTCTCGGAGGGGCTGCGAGGGCATGGCTGGCCCGGCTGATTTTCCCGATTTAATATTTGATCACGATGTTTGTCCCACCCCACCCGCCACCCCCCAGGCCGTGACACAAACACCAAGGCTTTGCTCTCCCCTGCTGCTCAGTGATTGGCCATTAGTCAACAAGTTTGTCCTCCTGTGAAACACTGCTTCCGCTGAATCCTAAAACAGCTTTGGCTAAACCTGTTATATAAAAAAAAAAAAAATTAAATCTCTTGAACATGTCAGCTTTTGCTGAGATCATTAATCCGTCTCTCTGGCTGCGTAAAACCAGTCTGTCACATCCACCAGGGAGTCAGCTCGGATCCTGAGTGGATTTGCAGGGAAGACTCAGTGGACCCTGGAGATGAGCACACGAATGTGTTCAGGAAATGCTAAGAAGCACACAAATGACCTGTTTTCACAGGGTTGCTGTGTTTCCTGTCTAAGAGATTGTGCTTAACCTCTGGCCAAGGATGCTTGCTTTTCCCCCAAATATACGCCTTGTTTTCAATGAAAACATATCTTATCAAAGCATAAAAGACATTTTGATTTTGAAGGAAAACATAAAACCAAAGGAGAACTCATGATCATATAAGCTCTTCTTCCTATTACGAGCATTAGATTAATTTTGGTCTTTCATCCTAAGATGTCTAATGTCACACATCATAAATTAGACTGGATTCCTATCCTGGGATATGCAATTATGAACATTAGAACTGTAAAGACATATGTGGTTAGATTTAATGTACTGCACAGAATAAAATGTTTTAAAACTACTTATTGCTTGACTGCTGCGTCCTGAGAATGGAGTTTAGTGTGGTAGAGACGTAGGGAGATGAGGATAGAGGGCGAGAAGAGCAATAGCCAGAAGTGAAACGGAATTGGCATTTTATTATGTAAGAAGGAATCAGAAGAATTTCTTTTAAGCAAACTGGAATGACATGATCTGCTTTATTTTTTAAGGAATTCCTAACTGGGATCAGTTAGATGAGGGAAGTTGTAACAACAAAAGAGGATGAGGTCCTGCCCTAAGGGAAGGGAAGGAGGGAAGATAGAAGAATGAGACAGTCAAGTTATTACTGAAGTAGAATACATATGGCGACTAAATAGAGGACGTAAGAGATGTCAACAGTGATACCTAGGATTCCGGTCTGGAGGTAGGTCTGGTGCATGGTACCACCGTTAATTTATATACATTAGAGGTGGACAAGTTTGTGAGAGAGGAGACAAATTCTGACTTGTGGAGTGTGAGGTGCCATGGGAGCTGCAGATGCTCAACAGGCAGCTGGAGTATGAGCCTGAGCTCAGGAGAAACGGCTGGATTGGAGAAATGGGTTTGGGTCCATCAGTGCATCGTGGTAGTTTAACCACAGGAAAGGGTGAGATCTTCTAGGGAAATAGAAGTTCAAGTCCAAGCACAGAATCCTGGAGAATCCATACTCTTAAAGGATGGATGGGCAGCCAGAACAAAAGCATAGACGTAGCAAAGAGGTTGACTATGAAAACCAAAGGTGAGTTTCAGGAAGGAGGGAGGTGCTGTGAAGAAGTGAGGGCAGAAAACAGGTTACTGGATCTGGCAACCAGAACATCGTTCCTAACTTCAGGTAACCGTAGTTTCAGTTGCGAGATGCGCAGGAAGACACACTACGATGGGTTAAATAGGAACTTGGGAGTGGGAATAATTCAGTATGGAGACTAATTCAGTGGTTCCCAAATCTGGCCATTCTTCAGAATTATCCAGGCAATTTGTTTAAAAGTCCCATTCCTGGCGAAGACTTACTGGGGAAGGGGAGAGACCTATTAAAGTTCTTTTCCATAGATTTTGATCAAAAGATCTCTCTTTTCCTCTCTTCCATATGGAACAAGCCTACCGAGGACTAGCTAGAACCCTAGAACTGTGCCAGATGGTTTTTTTTTTCAAGAAATATTTGTTTTGTTCCATTCCAGATCCAACTAGGTCTTACCAACTTTTTCTCTAAATCTCTCTTATTTTTAGTGGTTCAATTATTGTAATTACGGTAGGGAGAAAACCACACTTGGAGATGGTGTAACTTTTTTTCATAACAGCTTTACTGAAATATCATTCACATACCATAAATACACCCCTTTATTAAAGTATGGTTTTTAGTATATTCAGAGTTGTGCAACTATCATCACTATCTAATTTTAGGACATTTTCATCTCCCTCAAAAGAAACCTCATACCCATTGGCAGTCACTCCCCATTCTCCCTTCCCTTCAGTCCCTGGCAATCACCAATCTACTTTCTGTTTCTATGGCTTTGCCTATTTTGGACATTTCACATAAATGGAATCATACAATGTAGCCTTTTTTGTCTGACGTCACTCACTTAGCATGTTTTCAAGATTCATCCATGTTGTAGCATGCATCATAACTTTATTCATTTTTATTGTCAAATAATATTCCATTGTATAGATATAACACATTTTGTTTATCCATTCATCAGTTGATGGGCATTTGAGTTTCCTGTTTGGACTATAATGCTGCTCTGAAGATTCGCATACAAGTTTGTGTGAACATGTTTTCATTTCTCGTGGATATACACCTAGAAGTGGAATTGCTGGGTCATATGGGAACTCTGTTTAACTTTTTGAGGAACTGCCAAACAGTTTTTCAAAGTGGCTGCACCATTTTACATTCCCACCAACAAAGGACGAGGGTTCCAATTTTTCCATGTTCTCACCAACACATTTTCTATGCTAGCCATCATAGTGGGTGTGAAGTGGTATCTCACTGTGGTTTTGACATGCATTTCCCTAATGATTAATGTAGAGTACCTTTTTGTGTGTTTATTGGCCATGTGTGTATCTTCTTTGTACAAATGTTTATTCAAATCCTTTGTCATTTTTAAATCAAACTATTATAAAAATTCTTTAGATATTCTGGATACAAGTCCCCAATGAGACATATAATCTGCAAATATTTTCTCCCATTCTGTGTTGTATTTTCACTTTCTGAATGGTGAAACAGAAAAGATTTTTTTATTTTGATGAAATATAATTTACCTACTTTTTCTTTGATTGCTTGTGCTTTTGATCTCATATCTAAGAAATTACTGCCTCACCAATTAGGCAACAAATCACAAAGATTTTCTGTGCTGTCTTCTAATGGTTTTATAGTTTGTGTTCTCTTAAAGTTTTAGATCCATTTTGAGTTAATTTTTGTACGTGGTGTGAGGCAGTGGATGTATAACCTTAACATTTGTTCATTTCTCTCAGGACAGAGAATTGGCCCCAGTGGCTCAAGCTCAGAACTGTGGGAAGGTCCAGTAGCATTCGCTGAGGTCAGATTAGGCCAGAGAGCTAGATGGGACTCTGGTCTGGCACAGCCTTGTGTCATACATTAAGCGTTTGGGTCTATCTTAAAAGCAATGGGAGAGACGGGATCAGATCTGTGCATGGGAGAAGACTGGCTGCAGGGTGAGGAATGGGGCAAGACTGGAGACCTGTTAAGAGGTTACTGCACTAATTCAGAGGAGATGATGGCTCATTTGGGTAGTGGCCATGAGCATGAAAAGAAGGGGAAAGATGTGAGAGAATATTCAAGGAGGCAGAAAGGACAGGAGATAAGACCAGATGACATAAAGAATACAACCTTTGGTCAAAACAAGGTATGAATAAAGTCACTGGTTTTATTGAGCAGCTCAAACAAGTTCTGAAGGCAGCTTGTTAAAGAGGTGTTCCAAACAGCTTTTGAGCAAGGTACAGCCTCCCACAAAGGCTTTACTAGTACCCATGTTAATGTATACATTATTCTTCGTTAAAAGTCATGTTCACTAAATGCATTCACCTTTCATATACTTACTTGCAAGCAATAAAACAGTATAGGCTTTTCAGTACTTCAGCCTAGGTTTCTGCTCAAATTAAGTGGAAATGTGTGAGGTTTGCTTGTTTACTGATTCGGGTCTATACAAACGGGGGGTTTCAAGATACCAGAAAGTTTATTCAGAGCCAAAAATAACAAAAAAGTTTCTTATTCTCCTGAAATAGGAAATTTTATATTTCCACTGTCAAAATAATAAAGTTTTTAGAGGTTTTTTTAAAAAATTAGTTGAGAATTTTGATGAAATTCATTTATTTCAGTAGAATAAAACAATAAGCAGCATGAAAATGTAAAGTGCTACATAAAAGCCCCACAACACATAAAATTTGAAAAGTTTCATTGGCTTAATTACAGGTGAAACAGTCATTATACATTTTTTCAAGCATGCTATTTTAACGACCTTGATATGTAGTCAAGTGCTATGTTGGTCAAAGAAAGAGCCATGCGTGCCCCAAATCCAAGGATTGGGAGAAGGAGTCCTAAGCCCTCACCCACCAAACATTCAGTTTTGCCCTTATCCTATAATTAGGGGTTACACTGGGGCTTTAAAAATAATAGTTTTCTGAAGAGGTCCTTCAGATGGCCTTTGAGTAAGAATGGCCCGAGTAACAATGGCCCCAAAGATCAATTTTGCTCATTAACTCCACAATGGATGTCAGATCGACAACTTGAAGAATTTTAGGTAGCATACGGGAGCTGAAAGGGAAGGAGCAAAAAATGTGCCACTTTCAGATACACGTAGCAGGTGCAAAAAAAAAGCCAACACAAACAAGAAGGTGGCCTGTCAGCTGACGGGTGAGGGAAGAGATGCAAATCAGAGAGAGAAGGATCTGCACAGTGCAAATCTTCTCGGCTTCATCAATTTTAAAGTAGAGGTCCACCCCATGGAACAGGCAACAAGATCACAGAGGTGTAGAGGCTGGCTTCAGTCTGACTGAGAGGAAATGGCGGGAAGACCATTCGAGCACACGATTCGTCTCAGCACAGGCTGAGAGCACGGGGTTTCCTTCTTCTTGGGAGAACAGGACCTGGCCTTCCCCGGTGGGTCAGTGACCTCTCACTAGGAGACCACTGACCACTGAACCAGTACTTCTAATATCTTGTGTTCCAAATCAAGACTTCAGAAAATATTTTCTCATGGCAATAAAGTTATCAAATGGTAACCTATAATTTTCCTGACATATGAGGTCTTCATAAAGTCCTTGGGTTTTTTAGACTTTATCAAGCTATAGCTAT